ATTGCTGGGTTTACACCTGAAGTTTTAATTTTGTGACGTGCTGTACTTGCGGTATTTTGAACAGAAAGCTTATTATGAAATAGTCGAGGAAAGTAAAACAATCAAATCACTAATAGATATGTTATCTAAATTAATGAATATAAGTAGGTAATTATTATTATTCATTGTGGATAATGTAACTTATGTTTATGGCTAATAATTTAGTGAGGATGTGTATTTCGTAATTCTCCACGCATAATAATATACAGAATTCGGTGAAACTTTTCAGTTTTTTAGTTTACAACATCAAAAATATATCACTAACCTATATTAATGTACTTATGTCTCTACATGTACCTAAACACAGCTTAATACATAATCATGTTCTACCAGCATTTGCAATTTGCTTATGGAGCCAAAAACTTCGTTTGCTAATATCCACATCCTGTTTAGTTCCTACCGCTCAATGGTGACCGCTAATCCGCTCAGAGCAAAGTTTTATATCGACCCGTTACGGTAGCACTAAAATAGACCGAGCTGTTTTCAATTACACGAAGCCTCCGCGCGGTGATTAAGGGTTATTTATACATACAGTTGATAAGCAAACATTCGACTGGGGTAAAAAACAAACTTGGTGAAACAGTACATTATTATTCTGCGGTGGAACTACATTTTTGTTGCAAGGTTTCAAACTGAATAGATATGACGTCACTGTAGTAAGTATCAATCAAAATTTTTAAGCTACAAAATTTGTGATTTTTACATGATTGTACAATGTTTTTTTTTGTATCTTTGAAGGTATTCATTCGGTTTTTATTACGATAAAGATTCAACTCTCATTTTTGAAAGAGTGGTTTTATTAAAATTTCAATCCATTCGACAAAAAATGCTAAAAAAGGAAACCATTCCATAATAATAAAAAAATTATACTACTGTAATAATATTTTTGTTGTGTAGTCCCTAAGTCGCCTCTTACGACACCCGCGGGAAGAGTAGGGGTTGGTGACAAATGTATTCTACACAACAAACAGAGAATGGGCAGCAGCGCTCTCTGAAAAACATCAATCTTTTAAACTGCGATCTCCAACCCGCCTGCCAAGCGTGGAGATTATGGCAAATCCCTCCACCATAGTGGAGGAGGCTCATAGTCCAGCAGTGGACTGTAAAGGGCTGTTGATGATGATGATGAATAATATTTTTGTATAGTTGATATTTCGTCCCACGGCTTTTAAAATAAAATTCAGTTCCATTTTATGTTGAAATTGGTAAAAGGTGACAATGCTGCTGCAATCATTAACTCCGACTGAAGTTTAAAAAGATTAATGATTCGAAATACTGCATTGACCGTAGTGTGTTGTTGATTGGGGCTTTGGGAGTGGTACTTATAGATAAATAATCTGAAACATGAATAGTCTTCCGTATGTATTATATTTGTGATAATAGGAGATCAAACATTGTATTTGCAAACTTATACTAATTAGGACTGTGTGTACCCAATAGTAATGGGTCTTCAAGTGTAAAGAAAAATTATATTTCAAATTCAAATCTAGTGATGTCAAACATAAAGATTTGCGCCCTAACCCTAAGTAGTAGAATAATAGAGACTTTATATTTTTCCAAATTATATGACCTACAATCAAAGGGTTCTATTTACGTTCATGATTATTTATTCTCCGCGCTGAGCTAGCCGGCCTTTTAGTTCACAATTTCCCAGAAAACTAAACTAACTTGTTTAGGTGTAGTTCGCTTGCTCAATATTTAATACACGCTGTTAAGTAGTCTGTGACACCGGTTGTATTTCTCCATCCAGATTCTAGATTGTATGTGCGCCTAACCAAATAAAATCTTTATTTCCAAAAAGAAATAAGCAACATTATCGGAATGAAGACACTGTATACGATATTCTGGGCCATTTCATATACGTTTGGAGCCTTGACGGCTGACGTTGACGTGGGTTATGGTACCGTCAGGAATACACGAACCTTTAAAATATGTTTAGTACTAAGTAAATAAGAAACCATTTACCTGCGTAACAAGATTTTTCTTAGAATTTGCTTGTTGCTGTTTGCTAATCTACATCAAATGTAAGATCACATTGAACTATATTGTTGATATTTTCTACGGAAAAGTCTAAAAGCCACAACAACCTCAATTTTCTCTTTTAGAATGTATTTTTTATCTCTACTTTATCATTCTCTCTTGATAGACCTACTTATTATAAAACCAATTCTTTCCTAAACAAATCTTTAAGTAAATGTACTTAGTTACTATCTTCAAGGCACGGATTTGGTGTAGGTAAGTATTAGGTATTCCGATAGTACCTACCTATTGTATTTTTGACAGTTCTCTAGTGTATAATAAGGTACTTGATACAAATAAGGCCTACCTAACTTTAAATGCTTATATTTCAATAAATATTAACGCCAGGCAACAAAAACAAGGTTAATTAACTTCTTACATCCTTTAATTTTAGCAATATTACAAAAAATAACACAATTTTTAACTAAATCTATTCAAAATAAGCAAATTACGAAACCACTGATTTTGGCTTTATTAAATCACCTACACGGAATAAGGCCTATATGATTCAAATGCCTGTAGACCTTAAAATTGAGGTTGTATTAAGCAAAATGCGGTCTTATAACATTAAACACGTCGATTTGTTTGCGTTATCAAAATTTTACATACCAAGTAAACAGAAATATACTGTATATCTCTAGATAAACTTAAATTCCACTTATTAAGAATAATACATAAATTATAGATATAATTAAATACTCATAGTAACAAAGTAATGATTCCTTACTTAAATTATCAAAAAAAAAATCAAAACAAACAATATTATTTTTTTGTATAGGGCTTATTAAAACACCGTGTTCGAATAAGGCCTACATATAAAACCTTTTAAATAAATCAGTTTAGGAACATCATTTAGTCTTGATTTTTTGTAAACAAAATGAGATCTCAATTTTTGTTAGAACCAGGGCATAAAAAGGCTTCTGAATCATCTGTACGAACTCCTACACAATCTGTATGATACCAGCAAAAGCAGTCCTTTATGGTAGCATATCTGCTACATTGTCTTTGAGACAGGCATGATAATATCAGCTTTAATTCTTTAGAATTATACATACGGCTTTTTATTCTTATTTTTTATTGGTTTTGTATTTTGTTTCTTTTTTTTTACAGGTTTAGTATTTTTTTTTACTCTGTTTTCTTTTTATTTTCTGTGCTGTTAGTAACATTCTTATTAAATAAATATTTAGTTACTCTTTGACTCATTTAGTTTAATGAATTTGTCCGTAATCAGGTGTTGACATAAGTATCCAATATGGCCTACCATGCTGAAATAAGGCCTAGGCCTTATTAGATATTTCGCTCTTGTTGTCTTTAAAAATTTACAAATAATACATCTATAGCCAGTAGTACAAATTAAGGTAATTATTAGCTAGTAAGAAATATTTAGAAACCATTACTAAGAAAAGCTTAATCTAAAACAGCGTTATTTTACCGAAAATTTAAGATGAAATCGCCAGATTTTTATAAGAGAGCACGAAATCACCCACCACCTTAGAAGAACGCGTGCCAATTGGTGCTGGGATCGTGGATCGGGACGCTCTTGCACTCTACCGGGTTGTAGGGCATATGAGTACGTGTCCTTGAAGTATTATCCCGGTTGGATTTGTTTATCTGTGTTTTCTGATGTATAGGCCTTATTAGAACGTAGGCCTTATTTGTATCAAGTACCTTAGATCATCATTCAAATCTCGATCAATCTTTTTAACGCTATGATGGAGCACGTGATTTTGATCCCATGGTATTTTTCCATTTTATCTCGCTTGCAGACTTTAAGATAAAAACAGATAAGTCGGTTACACTACGCAAACTGACATCTTTAAAACAAAATTGTTGTTTTGGTAGAAATAATAATAAATATAAGATTTTTCATCTTTTATGACATACTTATTCTTTAAATGCCTTTATGACTAAACATAAGATCTTGTCTTTTTGCGAATTATACAACTCTAAAATAAAATAAGAAATCCTTCTCCAGAGGAGATGTATACAAATTGGGTTCAATGAGGTCTTAGTTCTGACTCCGTAGTTTGTGCATAGAATGGAATTTTCATAGATAATGCCATACAGCTCTCTGCAAGGGGCCGTCTCGTATCAGGCTCTGCAATTCGCTCGGGGACGTCATTATAATTTACAAGGAACTCGCCGCCGGCACGACGTTGATTAAAAATTGTAGCCTAATAACTTTCCTTCATAAGCTCACTAATAATATTCAACAATATACTGACTCCTTTGAACTTGTCAGACTAAAGATAATGAAAATACTTCGTGCTCAGCGTGAAAATATTAAATTTCTGTTAATCCGAACAACAACAAAAAGTGTAGAACAGTGGCATCTGCTCCGTGGCCATTAATTCCAGCCCTACAAAGATTTTCATCCGTTCCATCCGAGATTCAGAGAACCTTTGTTACAGACAATTAACTGCAGCGACGAAGAATTAATTTCTTCCCAGGGACGACTGATGTTACAAGGGAGAGTTTTTCCGCGGAATATTAAACGGTTTATTTATGGCCGAAACACGGCCCGGTCAAAGTCAAGTCAATTTCAAATAATAATTTACCTAACAATTTAGCACCAATTTACAGTCACTTAATTTTAGAATTGATTCAGCATGATTAAATTCTCAACTAAATTGCCACTCTGGGTTGCGCTCGTTATGATAATAACGATGAAACACACATTAATGAGCTTCATGGCAATTTGATGCCATATATTGCATTAACCTAGTTCGTTAATTCACGATTCAAGTTTAATCACGATGTTTTCAAAAGAATTACTCCATGTTTGGGAATTAGCGTTTTTCTGCTAGATTATGCTATTCTAGTCATGGTAACATTGGACCTACTTAAAGACTGCCATAGCTGCTACTATAACCGTCAACGGTTTAAATTTCATAATCTGTTGCCAGCCAAACGTAGAGTCACCATTAATAAAACCAATGAGATCCTCGTTATCATTTACTAAGAACAGCATCCAAGGAATAGTTTCTCGAAAAGAAATCATTGACAACACCGTTCACTCGCTGCTCGTATAGCGAACTATTCTGCAATTTACTCTCGCGCGATCCTTCTTCGGTCAGTTCGTATTTCACCTCTGTCATCTTGTGCGCGTCCTCTATTTCTGCCGTAATTATCTTCATTGATATCAAAGCTTCTATCAAACCAAACACCGAGTAATCTTTCAGATGCTGTTGGAAAATGCTCTCTGGGTAGATTTCATTAATGTCCAAATCACATTGTCGCAGCACCGCCGATAATGTCCAGTAATACAAAGAGAGAACGTGGTCATAATATTTTGAGCGGAATTCGTGGTCTGTAGTCATGTACAAATAGTACGATATATCAGTGACGGGTGATGCGTATCTGAGCAGTTGGCAGTCGATAAACATTACATCCACCGGCCTGCATTTCTGTAAAGAGAATTTAATATTATATTTTTGTTTCCAGTCCGCAGCCGTAATTGTTTTAACGCAAATGTTAAATTTTATCTCTCCGTTTACTGGTTAAAATTACTCAACCATTTATATAAATTTTATTAATAATGAAGCTTTTATTAATGCTACATTTAAACAATCGCTTTAAGTGAATGTGAAATGCTTGTTTTTAACTGTTTACCTGATATTTGTAGAGAATGTTATTATTCCAACAGTCGCCATGACAAATGGTACTATATTTTGTATCCGGCATTGCACATTTATGCAAAATTCTAAGTACGTTTGATGTATTATCTTGCAGCTTCTTCTTCGCTGATGCATCTTTAACAACGTTCACTGAAGCCTCGTAATATGAGAACAATGACTTTGGCATGAGCTCTACATCTGCATACTGCACGTCGAAATAACATGCCTTTTTTATTTGCTCAAACTCCTCTGGTTGAGATTTTTCCAGCACAAAAGACAGAGCATGCAGTTTCGCTAAATTTTTCACCGCGAGTGAAACGTGGTCCAGTGATAACTTTTGAAATCTATCGTGAACCATGTATCCTTGTGGATCCGAAACTACAATGGCCTCTCTTCCTTTGTCACAGCAAGCGAAATCACAATTCGGAAATTTTGTCTTTAGTCCCTCAATGACTTTGAAACGGTTTTGAATTTCGAGATAGGCTGGGATGATTTTTTGATAGAATAAAAACTCACGTTTATGTGCTTTACGGAATGCATTTCGTTTTTTTGGATCAGAATGCCACTTTATGATATATTTCTTCTTAACTTTGCATCCATTTCTGTATCCTGTTATGGTCACTTTGTAAAGACCGCCGTAATAGCAGTCAACTTCGTCACAGCCAAACTCAAGAACATACTCAATATCTTTTATCTGAATGTTGTTGGCTACTTCAAATAAGATCATCATAAGTTCCGGTGGACCACGAGAGATCTTTCTGTGTGGCATCTTAACACGTGTGCACTTTAATCAATCTTGAGAACTACTGAGCGGATAGGAAGCTATTGATAAAGGCCTCCATATCTGTAATACGTGATAGATTGATTTTATCTCATTCAGAATATCTCAGGATTGTTCATCTCGCAGAGTAGTATTCATCAAGTAATATCTACTCTTAAATATACCGACAATAGGTATAACCCATTGCGAAAAAGTACACACATCAATAACAACCAATTCTCGAATCACGCTGACTACGCTATACTTATTTTGACAATTTCAATTGTGTAAGAGCTAAGATTCGTCATTGTTGCACCACTATCAGCGATTGTGTCTTGATGTAAAGAGATACGTGCGTGGTATCAGCGCGGAACCGCTCACAAATAGATATAAGATAAACTAGTCTTGCCACGATGACAATACCTTTTGTAACGTCCTCAATGCTCGTCCTGCCACTCTGCAGACGTAATAGTGATGTACCAGGGAAACCGTTTTCATACACGATATATTCGATTACAATAATCGAGAAAAATTCTCACACACTATTAAAAGATAAAAGAGTGATGAGAAACAAGATTGATTTTGGAAATGAAGAAAAAATAATAAAGTTACATTTTTAGATAATATTTCAAGAAACAAATTAAATAACGAGCAAAAGCACGAATCGAGAAGATAATGCTGACAAATCTTCTTGCTAGTCAGAAAACTAAATTACCAGACCTATCCGTCTTGTTCCCCTAGAGGCCGATTAGTTTAGGAACTTTGAAACTAAAATATTGCAGAAAATACCTAAGCAAGATAGCGAGACTATTCCAGAGAGCATATAATTTAAACCGATTTTAGTTAACTAGACGAGAAAACTAAACACGATACGAATTTTAATTTGAGTAGGTATTATCAGTTTCAGATTCTGTGTAATGTAATTCAGAGATCCAACAAATGATCGAAGAATTGTCTCGATTGTTTTGAATCGAATGGTACTCGAGTTCGAATGGAGTCACAAGAGCACGTCACCAGCAAATAATAGGTACGTAGAATACACATAATGTGGCATGACCGGTTTATGCATTCAGCGCCGCTTTGTATGCCATTGTCATAGTCCTTCTGGGCATTGAGTCTAATCTTGGAATATGCAGGCTATTGAAGCTGGCTGACCGTTGAAATGAGGGAGTATGATCAATAATTCCATTGTGGAACGGCACACGTATTCTCACCGTACCTATTCGGGAAAGTGCAACGCTGAATGGTTCTTTTCATGCACGTTGCGTTTTAGGTTTTCACAGCTATTGGAATAAAAGAAATGCTAAAGTATTTTACGAAAAAGATATTGTATTTTTGTTACAAACGTTGTTTACTTGTTTGTTTCGCCTCAAAGTAATTTGAAAAATTCCCAAGTCTGGTGCTAAAATGTAAGACGGCGTACGTTATTATGAATTTCAGTCGGTATTTTCGTGTTGTTAGAAGTTAGTTGAAGGATGTTTCAAAGGCATTCCCGTAATTTGCTACAATTAGGCTAATAGACCTACTAGATTTAGTTTGTCTAGACCTAAGCATTCAGACAGCATTTAAACATTTAGAATATCTTTTATATTCTAGGCATTGCACAATAATATGTGAAATCTGATACGTAACGAACAAGAGAATGATAGTAACCTTATTGTATTTTGTTTTTGAAATCTTACGTACCTACAATTTCGGACATTAGGTTAGTTTTCATTCCGGGGCCAGCAAAATACACAACTTTGAAGGGGTCTAAAGGCTAAGGAAAGAAAACCTTCATTTGTTTTTATATCTTAAGGAAATCCGATACAAACAAGTAAACAACGGCTCCTTTGTTTAGAAAGGCCTTTTGTTTAGTTCGACTAACAATACAAGTACAGCTAATCGAGTAGGCTGTACACTGTCTGCGCTTTGACAACGGGATTGTTTGTTTGTCCTGCAATATTCGCCATACGCCTTTGGCGATTTGAATTATTTACCATTCAAACATGCGAAACAGTTTGTGAACAAGTTTGTTGCAAAATGTTCAGACTGGAATATTAAGTTTGTGATCAATGATTATAGTACTTATTTTAGGTTTTTAGGGATAAACAGGTATTATCGACATCACATCAGGTTGACCTTACTTTATTTTACACGGATTCCATCGTCAAAGCCGAATGTAATTTAGGTGTAAATAAAAACATCAAATGTGCTTTGAAGGGCGCCGCCCTAATCACATCTGCCTTAAACAAGATTCGGCAGGGCCGTCTAGACGTTCGGAAATCAGCTCCGTAGACATCGCCTGTTGGCTTTTCAACATTAACTCTGTAATCTTTTTCAATCTTATCACACCAAATGAATAGATAGATACTATTTTACTATTACGTAGATATCTAAATATATGTAGGTATATAACTCTGACTGACATAGTGATCTATCAACGCACAGCCCAAAACATTGGACGGAACGGGCTGAAATTTGGCACGCAGGTAGATGTTATGACGTAGGCGTCCGCTAAGAAAGGATTTTACGAAACTCCATCCCTAAGGGGGTAAAACGGGATCCACGCGTACGAAGTCGCGGGTGGCCGCTAGTTTAAAATAATTTTGCTGAACAGTCGAACAAAGTACATAGGTAGTATACTACAATACTAAAAACAAATACGAAATGGTAACCCCATACTGTTCAAAGTTTCAATCAACCTTGCTTATGACGTCACTCTACAAAGTTCACAGCTCAAAAGCAATTCACATGACGCAGGTATATCAATCTGCAAAGATTTCCACAATCGACCACCCAGTTGAGTGACACTGTAATCATATCAGCGCAACGTGATTCGGAACGTGAAACAACCCAAGGTTAACCAAATAGGAAAAACCATTTTCTATTGCTTACATGCTCAAACTCTTAACCATCCTGCCTATGTCGTCACTCTACAAAGTTTATAGCTAAAAACTATTCTTCATATTATTATGCCGCAGGTAACTACATCAATCTGCAAACATTCTACAATCGAAAATCAAGTTTAGTGACACTGTAATGTAATCATATCAGCGCCAACGTGATTCGGAACGTGTCTAGACACTCAGGAAATCAACTTTCCGTAGACACTGCTCTTGACGCCGGTGCCCGGATACATTTTTTTTTAAACGCACGTAAAACGTTATATTTTGGGTTATGACGTTTTAGCTGGGAGCATCTTTGAGTTTTAAGTTAAATTAAGTGATACATGGTACAAAATGTTCTAAAATAGTTAAGTATTATTGGATTAAGTATGACGTTTTAGCTGTGAGTATATCTTTGCAGAAATAACACTTTATATTTTAAGTTATGTAGTTACTGGTGAAGTTATTTGATTACATACCTGATTCGTTTCTGGTTCTGCTATCAGCTCTGGATTCTGTAAATAAGAGACAACATAATTAATTATTTAATTTCTACACTAAAACTTTGTAGTTTTTGATGAAAAGTACCTAAAAGAATATACGAGTAATACGAGAGTAATATTTTTATTGGTATTATAATATTTACAAATAAGATTAAATTCAGTAGGAGTTTGAATCATGTCGACGCCACAAGTGTAATAACTTTTGTTGTAAAGTAGTAGGTACATTTATTACATCTGAAAATGATACCGCTGTCTTTAGCTCATCACTAAACAATAACATTATTTAAAACCCACTTAAGTAGCTATTAAACCTCTGTAACCTAATACATCCTATACTGAGAATATCTGCTCGATTTACCAGCTTATTATGGGAAACATGATCTGTATCCCCTACAGCACAATACCGAAGGGCAACTCCGGGGTCCTACTAAAGGGAGTATCGAAACTTTTCACGTATAATGGCGGTCAAATGAATATTTTTAGCGGAGTATTTTTTCATCTTTTCAATAGAGCAAGGTAATGCTTTTGTGATAACATTTCACGTAGAATATGGGTTTATGTAACTTTTATGGTAAAAGGAAAGTTGGAAGAGCTCACAGTTCATTATGTGCGGTAATAACATGTTAAGGTATGATCACTAATTTATTCAAATACCTAACTGCTTTTTATGGGAAGCAGAAAAACAAAACGGAAAAACCTTTTTGTACAGTCGCATATAAGACCACGGGCTGGAAGACGTAGCGTGGGCAGGCCTCCTACTAGGTGGACCGACGATCTGGTAAAGGTCGCGGGAAGAGCCTGGATGCGGGCAGCGCAGGACCGTTCATTGTGGAAAACCTTGGGGGAGGCCTTTGTCCAGCAGTGGACGTCATTTGGCTGAAACAACAACAACAATATAAGATTTTGCATGTGTGCACCTTTTTCTATCTAAAGATGTATTGATATTTTATGCCGTTAGCCGTACTTGAAACAAAGAACTTAAAACTTACAAATAAGCATCAAAGATCGCCGTAGTCACTCAAAGAAATATAGCGATGTACCCACCTCGCTACTAAAATATTTTGTAACCTTTTTCAGTTTAACGTTGATGCTGAACTTTTATTATTTATTTACTTTTCAATTCAAAATCTTACCTTTTCCAATTACGAAAACTCCTAAGTTAAAATTTTTAATAAGTCCAAAACGTTTTTATCACGCTAATAAATTTCTTTAAAAGGCCAAATTCGCTTTGAGCGTGGGAGGGGCGCAAAGAATAAAATGAGGAATGTTTTAATAAGTGTTCCGTATAACGTCGTTTATCTTTCGTTGCATGCGGAGTTGCCGCAAAAGTAACAAAAAAGGTTGCCGTAAATGGAAGGTGGGTAAAAAAATAAATTGTTTGACGTTTGCCAATGCGAGCGTCGGCCGATTCGAGTCCATTTGCGGGGGTTTTCTTTCAAAACGACTGTGATGTTGCGCTCTGACTAAATAAACAAGAGACCTCAAAGCTTAGAATTGCATTTGTTCAGTAAACAGCCTTATTTATGTGTAGACGGCACTTTTATATACGCTTCATTTAACCCTACAGTGGTCGCGTGGATTACACCCGTAATCCACTCGTGCAAATTGTCGAATATTTTGAAATCGGTCAACGCGATCGTTTTGATACTTCGTGTACTTTAAGTTGCATAGTCGAAGATCACACTTAATGACATGTGAGCGCCAGGTCGCTTGTGGATGTGTCGCAGGAGCCCCGTAAATGCCGATGGTCTACCCGTGTAATCCGCGCGACCAATTACGTAAATATTTTTTAAGTTACCTTTTTTACTTAATATGTTTGTTTTTGCATTATTAGAGTAAATTAATGCTTTGTAATAAATAATTACTGCATAGGTATGTATTTACATTTGTGTTTTCAATAAAATCATTGTATTTCAGATAAAAATCATGAACAATAGACAAAAAGCACAAATTGCAGAATGGCTAGAAGTAATTGACAATGAAAGCGTATCTTCTGGCGAGTCTTCGGTTTCTGATGAAGAAGTGCACATTCTTCCACAAGAGAACAAGTTTCTCAGACCAGTGATTATCCATCTAATTCAGAACCATCACAGAGGAGTTTTTTAGGTCGCTACTTTTACTGCGGAAAAAAGCGAAATCAAAGTACTGGAAATACTTGTAATTCGTGCAACAAATTTATTTGTCCTTATTATTCCATGATGGCATGTATCTCCTGTTCAAAATATAAATAATAAATAAGTTCAATTAGTACTGGATAATTTCTAAACTACCAAAGTTGACATTTTCTTGATAAAAAATGATGATTTTTATGTTTTGGTTAATTTATGAAATATGAGAAGAACTGCTCGTTTCTTTGTTTGATTATTTCATTAACTAATACATAACAATAAATATAAAAAATAAAGAAACATGTTTTTATAAAGATATGTCTTCTTTTTTTACTCCATAAAATGGCTTACGCATGTAATCCGCGCGACCATTAACGTAATATTTTAGAGCGCGACCACCGTAGGGTTAAGGTCCATACACACCGGGTTTTTTTCAGGCGCCATCACAGCGTTACGTGACAAGTTAGTTACAACGATTACGATAGCATCGAGTAGATACATAGCGCGTCCAGTCGCATGAAACGCACCTCGACACTGAAATAAACGTATTGTACAATAGCCCTTAGAGTGCATACTATACGTACTTTTCATAAATTTTTAGACGTCTCTGATGGTAGAAAATTTCACCTCAGTGAGCAGTTACTATTTGTGACAAACTCATAACAACTTCTATGCAAATTCTAAAGGACAATACAACCCCGTGTCTAAGTACCTGCCTTTTGTAATCTTCATACAATTAAGATACCAATCAAGAGAGGTAGCGGCCGTAGAAACGAGAGCGGTAGGTACGAGGGGAAAGGTTTTGTTCTTAATCCCACTCAGAGAGTTAAAGATGACATTATTGTTTGCGTACATAAATACCAATCTAACATTTTAGACGTAAAGAATCTGAACAAGATTAAAACCTAGTTGCATATCGTCGTCGTCGTCGTTTCAGCCGAAAGACGCCCACTGCTGAACAAAGGCCTCCCCCAAGGATTTCCACGAAGACCTATCCTGTGCTGCTCGCATCCAGGCACCTCCCGCGACCTTCACCAGATCGTCGGTCCACCTAGTTGCATATACTCGTACATAATAACTACAACAACAAGGCTGTTTGGCTCATTCTCAAGTATGCAACTTTGGGAAAACGAGTATGTTTAAATCGTTTTTTTTTAACAAGTTTTTCCAAAATTTTTTTCTATCGCTTCTTGGTCCAACGGTTTATTGCGAATTAATTGGAATTTCATATTGTTGAAAAAATAGGTAGTTCTAAATGCAGCTAAGATTCGATCACAAATCTAATTTTATTCATAAAGACTGACTTAGTCAAAGAGTTTCTTGCTAAAATATGATACTCTTAAAATACGTGAAAAAGTTAATAAACAAGCACTTATGCTAGAATTTGAACTGACTCCCAAATAAGATTGTCTAGTCCGCTCAGAGCTTTGGGCCTGCCCCTGCTACGTCGCTGCGTTGCAACTCCGGTATATTTCGAATTCAAGCTTTGGGGAGAGCTTTAAAAGCCTGCTTTATATTTAAACATTCGGCTACAAAGACTTTGGACTCAGTATTCAATTCACTAAGTTGAAAATGAAAACGTTCATAAAAACAAGGCGAGAGTGAATAAGCACTTACAGGGCAGATATGTACCACCCTAGACTGCATCCCACTTAACATCAGGTGCGATTGTGGTCAAATACCTGCCTTGTTATGCATAAAAAAAAAGCTATTGAATAAAGATTTAATTTGATTGCTTTTTACTTAGACATAAATAGGATGAATATTAATAGCAAACCTCTTTTACGAGTATAACTGAGTTTTATTTAAAAGAAAAAATCGGCGATTTTCCAAATTCAAATTTTAATAATAACTTTTTAAAAAAATAAAACCGACTTCAAATGCGTGAACACAAAAAAAAAACTAAAAATTAAAAATATTGCGTATAAAAAAGTTCAACCCCAATTTTCCACCCTTGGGGGTGAAATATTTTCTTCAAATTCGCATGAAACCACCCTTTTGATAATACCTATTCAACAAAAAAATTATCGTTCAAATTGATTTATAATCGGCGGAGATATTGCGTATAAAAAAGTTCATCCCCAATTTTCCACCCTTGGGGGTTATTTTTTCTATTATTAAATTTAAATGGGACCACCCTTGAGGTATTACCTATATGCCGAAAAAAGATTTGTTCAAATCGGTTCATAATTGGCGGAGTTATCGCGTAACAAACATAGAAAAAAAAAAAAACATACGGGTCGAATTGATAACCTCCTCCTTTTTTGAAGTCGGTTGAAAAATTTCGACTCAATTACAGCTGAACTCACTAAAAAATTTGCACGAAAAATGAGCGCGAACCCGATATTCGATACAACATCACGTACTGGCTGAAAATATAATTATTGGGAATTGTAAAAACATCGAAATGCAAGCGTGAAACTGCGGTTTGAAAAATACTTTTTATTTTTCAAATTAAGAACCCGACTTCCCTGTACCAAGATAATCCCTTTCTACCGCATAACTAACGACCTAGTTTCCCCACGATTCAACACTCGAGTCTTGCACTAAGCCATGCAGTTGAATTCAAAAGCATTACGACATGATTTTCCTTATGTCTATGTCATTAGATTTGAAAAGGGATGAAATATTTATTGAATATGACTCTACAAATGGCAGCGGGCATCGCAACATTATTGCACCTTATTACTACAGGCATAGGGCTAAATAATTAGATATATATTTTTGCTGTTTTTGCTCGGGACAAGTATGATAAAGCGTGTTTTTTTTAATTACCTACTCCCTTTTAAATCATATTAAATTTTTAAATACCTTACGGTAGGTAGGTACTTCTAAAAAAGTCTTATGCCCGTTTTCACCATCAATCTCTAATTTTTAAGTGGAACCTATGGTAAGACATAACAG